ACTATGTCTGAAATACAGAGGGTAGAAATTTCAGGGAAATTGGACTGATACTAACGAAGATACGAGAGAGAGCTAAGGCGGAGGACAAGAGCTGGAGCTTGGTAACTAAATTACTGTATTGAACAACATTTGAAATATGATTATTTTTAAATTTTGGAATGATAGTATTCTTTATACGACAGGGGACTAAGGTGGGGAACGTGAGCTAGAACTTGCTTACTAACATGATTTATTTGTGTAAAACTGACTTGCTTAATGAAAAGGAGCAAACATACTGACTTGCTTAATGAAAAGGAGCAAACATACGATGTTGGAAAATAGTTGAACTGAATGAAAGGAGAGAGAGAGAGAGAGGAGGGACGGTCCAGATATTATGAGAAGATAACATAAGATAAGAGGTCTGGCTGACCGGGCGTAAAGTAAACACAGGTGAGGCGACAGATTGCGAGGTAAGGGGGGGAGGGAGGGGGGTGTGATGTACGAAACCCTGAAAACAATGACTTACACAGGTGATTTTCTAAATTTATATGAATAACTAAGGCTTACATAGACGATTTTGTAAGTTGAAAACATGTAAAATATGTCCGTAGAGTTCTCCTGGAAGCCCTAAAGTGCTACACACGTTATTTGAATTTCTCCCATAAGGCTTTAACAAACTTCTAAGTCTCGGAAATTATTTTTCTCATAAGAAATCCTTACTTCTAAAATCTGCGACTGACAAAATTTACCTGAAAACCCCCAAGCGCTATACACGATTTTCTAAATTTACCTGAAACCCTTGGGGCGCACAGGGGATATTCTAAATTTACCTGAAACCCTTGGGGCGCACAGGTACCTTTTTTCCCTTTGGACCTGAAACCCTTGGGGCGCACAGGTACCTTTTTTCCCTTTGGACCTGAAACCCTTGGGGCGCACAGGCACTTTTTTCCCTTTGGACCTGAAACCCTTGGGGCGCACAGGGGATATTCTAAATTTACCTGAAACCCTTGGGGCGCACAGGGGATATTCTAAATTTACCTGAAACCCTTGGGGCGCACAGGTACCTTTTTTCTCCCAGAAAAAAAAGGTACCTGTGCGTCGCCAACCCTACTACTCCTGGCCGTTGGCATACCCCACAGACAACATTAGTGGAGCCCATAGTATATATATAGAAACCTCCAATTTGAAGAAATAAAGCATTAATTAGTCTCTAGAGTGACAAAGAGCCAGAGAACTTTAGTACAAGTTAGTACATCAGTTTAGGGACGTTGTGAAGGCTGGGGAGGACGGGCTGCAGGAGGACAGACTCATTATATACCCGCAGATATATAAAGTTATATGAAGGGCTCCGTACTGGTCCCAAACCATCTTTAAGCTAAAAAAAATTATGTTTGTGAATTAGTTACACGTAATTTTCATAACTCATTGTGTCGGGAACAGGAAGCGAGAGTATTCATACATGTTAGGCTTATATCGAGATCTCCTCCTCTCCCTATTTCGAATTACTGACCCCGCCCCAGGATTCAACCCCCCCCCCCACAAGCTGACTAACTCCTGAGTACCTACTTACTGCTGGGTCAACAGAGGCATTAGGTGAAAGGATATGTGCCCAACCATTTTTGTCCCGCCCGGAATTCTCGATTGTGCGTCGAGAACGAATCCCACTGCGCTACCGGGACCCATATGGCAGTTACACACAGAAATCACAATAGCGTGATGCATGAAATGAACAAATTCTTATCATGTCGTAGCTCAGTTGATTAAGGCAGCGTCTGGGAGGCTCTCGGACGTAGGTTCGAATCCTCGTCACGGCCCTTGTGGATTTGTCCATATGGCATTCATCCTCCGGTCCCCCCCCCACACCCTCCAGGGCCGCTGTGGCAAATCGAATTGATAGTTCCCATTCTTTCCTACAATGACGTCATTAGCAGGTAAGAATTACCACGGACACCGCCACACAACTCTCAGGAACCTGTACACGCAACCCATCCTCAGAATTGACAGTACGTTTTAATACTAAGTAATAAGTGCATTTTCTGACTGCTATACATAGTACATAATTGCACTTATGGGGCTGTTACATTTACCCATCCCCCGATTTAAATCTCCTCGTTTTCAGTTAGGACACTTAAAATTTTTAGATGAAATATTAATGCTTAGTTATTATAAACAAGTTTTAAATATTAGGATTTTCTTTTTCAGTTTTATTAAACAAGAGAGATTTTATACAAAATTTGAAAATATCCTGAGTTATTTTACAATTTATTGAAATATTTTAGTTTTGTTTTATTTGTTTTATAAAACTGTAATATCAATATAGCTATAGGTTAAGTAGTAGTTATAATTAAGAAGCAATAAAATGTTTATCTTCACAAACTAAGACGGTTAGGTTAGGTCGTGGTTTTCTATTCAGCTTTTATGGTACACTCAAATATTCACAATATATTTGACAATACGATTTAATACTTAGTGTAAATAAGTACAATTCTTAACTGTTATACATAGTACATAATTGCACTTACGGGGCTCTGTACATTTACCTCCCCATTTTTGGAGGACGGGCTGGTACACCGGTTGATTGACAGTTGAGAGGCGGGACCAAACAGCTGAAGCTCAGCCCCCGCAAGCACAACTAGGTGAGTACAAAGGTTCCATTCACCTGGGCTCTAGGAGACTCGAACCATGGACCCCACGTGTGTGAGGCCGAAGCTCTACCGACCGAGCTGTTGAGTGGTCTTAATAAGGACAGTTGCCAGAAGCAGCAGCGGCCTGCTGCCATGCTGGCATTTCCGACTTTCCCCCAATGACTACTACTGATGCCCAGAGGAATTACTGACCCACATCCTGGTCATTTATGGAGAGGTAGTGTCACAATTGATATGTTTGTCCTGCACACCGCCCCCATCCTGTGGGCAGCGGTGGATAGGTTACAATCACTCAGTTACTACCTACAGTTAGCAAACTACCTAACGATTTAAAAAGCTGTCCAACTTTTGCCTTATTCAAAAATAAACCCAAAAAGTACCTAATTTTATCTTCATAGCTTCCTACCTAGTGCCTTAAACTCGTACTGTATCTTGTGTTACCCAATCCCTCAATATATGTACCTAAGCCATACAACTTTACCATTGTAATATCTTATATCAGGGTTGTTATATTGAACACATGTTATACTACATTATACCTAGAAATAATCCTCAAATTATGCTACAATATACCAGTTGATAATCCTCAAATTTTACTACAATGTACCTACTATTCTGTGTAAAATTTTCTTACAATGTACCCGTTAAAAAATTTAAATTTTGCTAGAAATTCCCTACTTAAAATTATGTGTTCGATTAAAGACCTGTCCGAAACGCTATGCGTGTTAGTGGCTTTACAAGAATGTAAAAACATCAATGCTATGTTCTCTCATAAACCCAATGTACCTTCTTGTATATAAATAAATAAATAAATATATAAATAACTGGGGATATTTGGCTAAGATTTCTGGCAGCAGATCATTTTGAATGAAATAGTTACGCATCTCAAATCAAGTCAAATCAAATGTTTATTCAGGTAAAAATACATACATACAAGATGAGTTACAAACATAATGTTGGATTTCTAGATAAAGCTAGGTACATACAATGCCTAAAAACCACCAATACCCACAGCGTTTCGGGCATCGCTGGAACATTGGTTATATAATTGTCTCTGAATTCACGTATCTTTTCGCACTCCATCACATAGTGACGGAGGGTGTGCGAATAATTTTGTTGACACAGTTTACATTTGGTCAGGTCTACATCAGCAGATAATGAGAATTCCCAGAGATACTTGTAACTGAATGGAATGGAACTATCAGGGAGGAAAAGCGTTTAGTTTAGTTCATTTATTATGCACCCCATACCCATCTTGTGGGCGGTAGTGGAAAGGGTTACAATGGCACATAATGGGCTCAGGGACTGAACCCCACAATTCATTTAGCTAAGCAAGTTACAATCTTGATGAGCTAGTTACAAAATTCAATATAAGTCATCACATCAACAATGGGTTCGAGATCGACCTCAAGTACAGGTTCTAAATTGGGGAAAAGCGCCAAGCCATTACGACTATATAACACTTGGAAGGGGCCAGGATAAGGATTTGGGATGAGACAGGGGAAAGGAATGGTACCCAATCTCTTGCATGGACGGTCGGGGATTGAACGCCGACCTGCATGAAGCGAGACCGTCGCTGTACCGTCCAGCCCAAGTGGTTGGACTACTTGTAATCGAGTCTAGGCCGAGCAGTAGTAACATTTGATTGATTGATGAAGATTAAGCCACCCAAAAGGTGGCACGGGCATGAATAGCCCGTAAGTGGTGGCCCTTCTGAGCCATTACCAGTATCAATAGATGATACTGGAGATCTGTGGAGGTGCGACTGCACCCTGCGTGACGGGAGATGTCTCCAGTGAGTAACATTTAGAAGTCTGCTGATGTTATTGGGTGATCCACAGATATGTGACTCCTGCTTGCATGATAGTATGATGATAGAAGGCGAATGGAATGTTTGCTTCCACGGAAGTGTGGATGAAATTTGCAGATTTTATGAATGTCTGAATTTGAATTGAAATTTTCCTAGAAATTACCTTCTTAAAATTATATGTTAGATTAAGGATTTGCCCGAAACGTTATGCGTGCTAGTGGCTTTAAAAGAAAGTAAAACATCAATGCTCTGTACTCTCATAAACCCATTGTACCTTCTAGTATATAAATAAATAAATAAATAAATAAATAAATAAATTGTTTAGTACAGAGGTTATAGGTACATATAACCCTTCAGTGCTGTGGCTCTACCATCGCATTCATTCCTCACGCGACGAAACAAAATATATCAATGCGAATAATAACCAATTAATAAAATAAAAAATCTACTTTTGACTTTAAATTTTGCATGAAATAATACGACTGTTATTTCTTAACGTAACAGAAATACGAAATCAAAAGAGGGCGAAACCGTAGATTTCAAAAGCAATAACGAATTGTGTTGACATGTGGTGGTCGGGGCCGCGTTCAGCCTCCACCCGCGAGGTGGTGTTATCACGTGTGTGATCTTGTCTCTTAAGATGGTGGGTGTATGTGAGAGTGTCTCCAGGGGTGTGTAGCTACACCCCGTCCTCTTCCCTCCAGCCAGTACACTAATAAGTCTCTCAGGTAGGGAGAATACAGCTGTCTCTCTCTGAAGGAGGTGGTGTGACCCCGCTCGTTCTGATGGAACACACTTGGTCAGATTTCATGAGAATTTATGAATCTTTAACTCTAATTTTCTTGTTCGAGTTCATTATACTAAAACTATTAAGTTAAAGTAATGTTAATATGCGTTTTTATATATCTTATTCCATGTGGTTCTACTTGATTTTTGAAGCTTTTACCACATTAACATTCTAAAATATTTGATTCAAAGTTTTTTTTATCAAAACTTGGAATCAGATTTAGGCAAATGAACTTAGACGTCAAAAAAATATGAGCACAGCCAATTTAAGTAATTTAAAATTTTGTGAGAATGAAATTTGAACTATAATTATAAGCTGAATTGGTTTCCTATTAAGTTTCCTCATTCCTTGCCTAACTTTGCCATTTTTTGCATAGCCTAATCTGGCCTAGCCTGGCCTAGCCTAGCCTAGCCTAGCCTAGCCTAGCCTAGCCTAGCCTAGCCTAGCCTAGCCTGGCCTAACCTGGCCTGGCCTGGCCTAGCCTAGCCTAGTCTAGCCTGGCCTGGCTTGGTGACTACCCTTAATGGGTACGTCTAATTACCGCAAGCTACCACAAGCTACACAAACTTCACAAAGCTTCCTGGCAATACATTAGTAATGAATAAATATGATAGGTTAGGCTGACCTAACCTAACCTAACCGAACTGACGCTTGGATCGTCGACTTGATTTGGCCTCACCAGCTCTTTTATTTTTGTCTAATTTCTTTTATAAAAAGATACTTTTTCAGATTAAAATTGTTTTTTCGTGTTGAACATTCAGCACCAACATTATAATGAGTAAATATATCATATTTATTCATTACTAACGTATTGCCAGGAAGCTTCGTGTAGCTTGTGGTAGCTTGCGGTAATTAGACGGACCGCCCTCAATGACCCACAAGCAACGGACCTAAGTTCAATTTCTAGGCAGGACAGAAATGGCAGAGCATGTGGGTCCGTCTAATTACCACAAGCTACACAAGCTTCAGAAAGCTTCCTGGCAATACGTTAGTAATGAATAAATATGATAGGTAAGGCTGACCTAACCTAACCTATCCTAACCTAACCTATCCTAACCTAACCTAACCTAACCTAACTTAACCAAACCAAACCTAACCTAACCTAACCTAACCGACGCTTGGATCGTCGACTTGATTTGGCGTCACCAGCTTTTTATTTTCGCCTAATTTCTTTATAAAAAGATACTTTTTCAGATTAAAATTATGTTTTTTTGTGTTGTACATTCAGCACCAACATTATAATGAGTAAATATATCATATTTATTCATTACTAACGTATTGCCAGGAAGCTTTCTGAAGCTTGTGTAGCTTGTGGTAATTAGGCGGAATGGAGCATGTTTCCTTTTGCCTAAGTTCTTTGTTCAACTAGCATTAAATAGGTACCCAGGTGTCGACCAATTGTAGTGGGTTGGATTTTTGGAAAGGGATGCAGGGGTGTAAACTTAAATTATCGAGGTCCTAAAAGGGACCTCAATAATTTAAGTTCTGTACAGGCTTCCTGTCCTTGACTACGGAAACTAAACTGTAAAAAGTGTTACATTTTCACACTTACGGAACAACTCGCAATAGCTCTGTTAATGATTATAATTAACTTACAGTAGACTACTTTATTTGGAATAAATTAATTTAATAATTATAATAATAATAATTCATTGTGTCAGTGGACAGGCAGCCAGTGTATATTTACTTAAATTTTCCTGAGGTGATAGGAAATGCTCCCAACCATTTCTGTCTCGCCCGGGATTCGAACCCGAAATTCTTGATTGCAAGTTGAGAACGAACCCGACTGTACTACCAAGACCCTAAATTAAGTACTGTAATTGATATGCTGTACCATTCTTGCAAATTAAAGGATATATATATCAGTAGATCCTTACACGTTACTGTAATTATCATTTATACAGGTTTGTGCTGGTGTAGCAGAATGCAGTCCAAGAGTTCTATAAAACTAACTTCGACATATTTTAGTGTCTGTACCCTCTCAGCAGCTCACCAGCTTCATAGTCCTCATCTGCAAATATGAGTTCAGGTAATGTGCTGAAAACTTTATAAATACTGTAGAATTCTGTATAGTTACTTAACAATTTAAGATGAGTTAATTTTTTAATAGTTAATCATTTAATAATTTAACAGTAATTTATTTAATATCTTCATAGTAATTATTAAAATGTTATATAGTATATAGGAAATACAGTATAAATATTGATAAGCCACTGTTAATGAATAATTATAACAATTTGGAATTTGTACAATTTTGAATCTGGTATTACAGTAGTAACCTTTTAGAAATATAACATGGTCATTATTTTGCTTTATATTATTTATTTGAAATATAATACATTTTATTATATATGGGGGTATCAAACTTGACTTCACCATCTGCAAGCTTATGGGGGAGAATCCTAAGAAAGGGAATCAATCCCTCACTTCGCAGTGAACAATCTTGTAAAATCAACACAACATGGGTTTATTAAAAATAGATCCTGCCTTACAACCCTGCTCACATTTTTGGAAATGGCAACCAACTATTCAAAAAAACCAGGTTCATGCTGCAGATTCTAATCTGTAATTCAGATTATTATATTTATTTATTTATTTATATACAAGAAGGTACACTGGGTTCATGAGAGTTCAGAGACTTGTGGCTTTACAAGAATGTAAAACTTCTAGCACGCATAGCATTTCGGGCAAATCCTTAAATCTAACATATAATCTTAAGGAGGTAATTTCTAGCAAAATTTAAAAAATGTTTACAGGTACATTGTAAGTACATTGTAAATATCATGGTAATGTTCCTTGATAATTGATGCAATACCTAATTTGACACCAAGCATGACACTTGCCCCATCACTAGCAAATGCTACAAGATTTTGTTTCAAATATAAGTCTTCAAACCCATGATAATTGAGACAGCTCAATAGATGCCTAGCAATAGTTGCTGCTTTCTGATCAGGTAGTTCAATTAGATTTAAGAATATGAAATGGGGATTACCTTCCTTATCACTTTCACATTTCAAGTAAACTATCAAGGTTGTTTTAATGCTCAGGATTGTTGATTCATCAATGAGAACAAATTTTGTCATATATCTGCTTGATATACTGGCATATTTTCTTTTTCATATTAATGGCTATGTGATTAATTATCTCTGTTGCAGTAGTGCAGGAAAGCAGTCCCATTCCAATGTCAACACCATTTTGCTTTTGTAGTTCCAGTAAGCCAAAGTGATCAGAGTCTGGTCTGTCATTCTGAGCTAAATAATATGCAGAACACAAAATTGAACAAGTTGTCTTTAGATACGAAGCATTCATGGCATCACAATGTTCCAAGAGCATCTTCATTAGCTACATTTTCAACACGTAAAGCAGCAGTGTGAGCTTTTCCATAGTCTATGAACAACAATTTTTTTTCTGAGAGACTTCAAGTGTGTACAGTACTTCAATCTGCTCCATAATAGGATACTTGGTACATCTGCTACACACTTGATAGTCTTGAACCCTTAGAAGTGACAAGTTACATAGCTTATGTTTGCACATACTTTACACCCAAGTTTATCATCCCTGAAGTCTAAGCATGGATAGGTTTTCTTTTTTTTCTTCCACATTTCTTCAGTCCAAACACGTGAACAGGGATACAAGTTAGAATTCAAGGCACCATTATTTTTTTGAATTGCACATGGATCCAGTTTGAAAATTTGAACTAGAAGCAGTCGAAACATAACTTTTGCCACTTTTACTGTTATCATGATCAAGTCTCGTGTATGTTATTCTTCTTACACTCCTCATTATGTTTATGAAAGAAGGAAGTCAACATTGTTTGCGTAGAAGCCATGATGGGGGTTGTTTGTCAGAAAAAATGCTTTTATATTAGAGTGAAATCCATGGACCACCAGTCATCACTTTACTAATGCCATTGAAACACAGAAACAGTTGCCAACTCGGTATTTCACATGACGCTAGAACCACCCCAAAAAAACACTAAATTATGTAAAGTTGTGTGCAGCAGTTTTGTCATTTTATCTCCCTAGTATTTAATACTAAAATATATTATTGTATGAATAAACATGTCTAATGAACTACAGTACTGCTAAAGTCGTGAACATTATCGCTGAATATTCATATCCAAAGTGGCAAGTTGGCAACTGTGTCTCATACCGTTTGTCTCACATAAATGAACAGGAAGCGTTCACGTGCATCAGGTATTATGTTTCCAGATTCGTACCAGTACAATGCAGCCTGTTTACTTTTTAAATATATAAAAATTTAAATATTATTGAATCTTTGAAGAAATATCATAACATTATTAACTTATTTAGAGGTGTAATACTAATATTTTACTGCCATGATCAACATTCACCTACAAGCCATCACCTCCCTTTCCCCCTCATCCTCTCTCCCTTTTCCCCATTCCATCATCCACTTGAAAAGGTGCCGGAGCAGCGCTCCGGCGAGCTCCCGCAGCACTGCACCACTACTTACAATGACATGGAAATTTGAAAGACTAAAAATAAATGTTTGAAATATGAGTATACAACAAGTGGATAGAATGAGGAATGAAGCTAATGCAAAATGGGTGTTATCTTTTTGTTTATAATGGTATGTAGATAGGGGGCCTACATATAAGTACATAGAGAAAAATGGAATTTGTTTTGGGCTCAGTTCCCAGGCAGCAATAGACATTTGGCTACATTTCCTTATACTTCTGTTCACCTAAGAGTAAGTAGATTCCTGGTAAATAGCCAACTGTTGTGGGAAGTATCCTGGGAAATGGTTAGTCTTTGGCTAGTGGGACCTTGATAAACCTAGCGCGTTTCCTTTCTTCAATGATGGGAAACCAAATGTAAAGCATTTACAGCCAATACATTTAAATATAACATTTTCTTTCAGGTAAAATTTATCAAAAATGGTCGAGAGATATGATTCACCTCTTGCTATCGGAAGTGCGTCGTCTTTGGCCAAAATTTAACGATTCAAAATATACAATGAAGATGCTGTATGAAGATGCTAGTACCAAACTGTGTGACTATGGGTATACAGTGAGTGCCTACAGGGTGGAGAAGAAGTGGCACAACTTGGTATCAACATACAGAAATGTCCTCAGCAAAATGCAGTTGTATGGGGAAGAGGCCATCACAAGGAGATGTGACTATTTTGAGGTAAAGCACAATAGTTTTGGGAAATGAAAATGTGAAGGCAGTGGGTTAATAATTTATAAGTAAATAACTCATTTTATGTGATCATTTTACTCTGTGCCCGATTTTCTTCCCTGTTTTACCAATTAATGTTAGTGTCAAGTTCATGTGCATATTTTAATTTTGTTTAATTATGGCTGTAGTTATATTGTAAAGTAAATGTCAAAAGACATTACCTGAGGGCCACCATCTCTAGTGGCCTCAATGATGACTGGAAGCTGGTGACTTGTGAAATATTCCCAAATTATTACACACGTTATATATTATACAAAAAATGATTCCAGAAGAACGGAGGGTGGGTAATTTCATGGGTTTGTTAACCTATGGGCTAAAAACATCTTTTGTCATCTGTCTTACATTAAAGCTGTTGTCCCTTGCATGTGAGTTAAGTTGAATCTTTTAAAGAAGTGATTTGTACAGTATTAATTTAACTACTGCACTGCTCACCTGTTAAATGATAACTGTGTTTGATAACTCTGTGGTTGATATCAACCACAATGATGTGGGGGGCCAAATTCACGAAGCAGTTACGCAAACCCTTACGAACCTGTACATCTTTACTCAATCTTTGCCGGCTTTGTTTACAATTATTAAACAGTTAATGAGCTCCGAAGCACCAGGAGGCTGTTTATAACAATAACAACAGTTGATTGGGAAGTTTTAATGCTTGTAAACTGTTTAACAAATGTAACCAAAGCCGTCAAAGATAGAGGAAAGATGTACATGTTCGTAAGTACTTGCGTAACTGCTTCGTGAATCTGGCCCGTGGATGATAAATGTTGGTAACTCTAGTGGACACACAAAAATTTATGAAAAAATTATTTTTCCTTTGACATTGTTATTAATCATCCAGGAAGCATAAAAATCCAAGTATAAAGTCTCTAGCGCTCATGGCTTAGCTGTTGTGTCGCAGATAAGTTGTGTTTTTTGGTTGAAATGAAGTAAGGTACCACACGGGAATGGCACTGTCTATTTTGATCACTGTGTCATTTGCAAATTTTATGATGTAGTTCATGAAGTTGTCATCTATGTCATTGCTGTATAATTTTACAAAAAAGGTTGAAGCTAATATTAGTACTGTGTTAGTACTCTGGTTTCCATTTTTCCAATCAGATTCTCTTCCATTTAGGTTGACCATTTGCTATCTTTGTTTTAATCGTTGTTTAATCTATATCAGTATTTTACTATTAATTCTGTGTTTGTAGTTTCTGGCCCAACCTTTAATGTGGTATATCATAATCAGTTTCAGAGAATCCTTGTGTATGTCATCGACTGGAAATCCTGAGTCTGTGTAGTTGATTACCATTTCCAGAAAAGTAAGCAAGTTTGTTACGCAGCATTTGTTTTTGACAAAACTGTGTCGTAATGCCTTTTGCAAGACTGTGAACTGTTAGATAGCAAATAAATTCTTCTCTTACTATTTTCTCCATGAGCTTGCAGATTTGTGAGGTTAGGTTGATTGGTCTCTAGTTTTCTGATGCACTTTTGTACAGTATTTATTTAATACAAGAGTGACTGCTGCATATTTCAAGATTTAAAGAAACTTTTCCCTTGGTCTAGGTATTTTCTTAATAGGAGTTTGTGTTAAACACAGTTTATCAGCCAGCTCCTTTGGCTTTCGCCTGAATTCCCAGGAAAAATTACCAGGAAATATAGAGGGGTCCTTTGACATGTTACTGGCTTCCTGTCCCTATTGTGGCCATGAGATAGATGTTGACCCTCAGGGAAAATTCTGCTTCAGACATCTATGTGCATCTTGGCAAATGGTCTGATCTTTCTAGTGTGAACATTAGTGTAAAATACTTGTGCAGTAGTTACTTGTACAGTAATGTACATTACTTGTACAGTAGTGTAAATGACTTTGCAACACTCAGAGAAATATACAGTACTCTTCAAAATACCCTGACAGAAGGACAGTAAACTACCACTCAACAGCATATATTTTGTGGAGATGACATTATCTCACACTACAGAATGTTAAGACACTGTGGGTTGTAAGGTGAGGCTGGAGGCAGATTCTGTCTGGAGGGTTAGCAGAGATGTTACTCTGGGCTCGAGCTGTGATTGTACTGTTTATACTGTAGTGATATCCTTTTGCTAAGCCAGGCATGGCTTTGTATACACACATCACTGATTGCCGATTGCCAGTTAGATTACCGGAAAGATTTTGGATCTTTCTTTATGCTTTGGGCAAGTTTTCTTTCGTAGTTTCTTTTGGCTGATCTGATTTCCTCGGTGGCTGAATTTAATGGCCCTCGGGTACATTCAAGTAAATTTTTTTGGTCACTTTCAATGCTTTGAGCCTTTCTGCTTATCTTCACATTGAGATTATAGGGCATCTGTACCAATATCTACAAGGGAGGCAGGAGGTATATCCACTTTGGGTCTCTTCCCATCATTAGTATTTATTTGTTGCACTCTTCAGTGGTTTTAGGCATTCTGACATTCTATTTTTTCTGGTTGTTTTGGAGCACTGCCTAATGTTCAGTACCATTGCAATATATCAGTCAGTGCTGTTGGAGTCATTACCTCTGAGGTTCAGGCTGGGTTTGGTCTCTCCTCCAGTTCTGAAGTTGGGTGCTGAGCTCTTTCCTGTACACAGTCTTCCTTCCCAAATTTACACAAAACCATTAGGAAAGATGCCTGTAATGTTGGGGGGTGATGGCCAACTATGGCTAGCAAATTTGACACTGTTGTGGGTGGACGATGTGCTCTGGCTCAAGGAGTAACTGAAAGGGCCGGTTCAGAAAGATGTTACTCGTATTACTCAAAACAGTATATTTTATTCCAGTAGTGCACATAATATAATGAAATACCTGTGTAATTGTTTGCTCTTGCTTGTTAATTACTGGTAACTAGTGATATGCATCCAATTTTCTGTAATTAAAAGCAATACTGTACTGTGAATTTATGTTGTAAGAAATTTATTACTGTATTTTTGGGGAATTTGATCTCTGCATTTCAGGCAATGCATGAAATAATGGGGAAAATGAATACTGCAAGACGTAAATCTTCAGCTTCACCCTTACAAGAAACATTGCCAGGAACTTCTCGGACCCGTTCTTCAAGCCCGATATCTGCCGACTCGACTCCCACCTCGCCAACATCCTCACCTGAGCCAAGTCGACAAAGGAAAAGAGTAAAGGAATATGATTCGCCCAAAATAATGTTAATACCTGCAGTTCGCCAGCATGACCAGTTGTACCCACAGCAACAGTATGTACCTCTTCAGAAACCAGGCAAAAAACAGAAACAGGAAACAGAAGAAGTAAATGATGCAGAGGAGCAAGAATCACGACGAGAATGGCGAGAATGGAAGAGGCAACAGGAATTAATCAGTGTGCAACGAGAGAGTAATAGGGTTCTTGAGAGTATAGATAATAACCTAGCTGCTATTCGTAAATCTCTTGATTTTGTTGTTCAGAAACTTTCTAATCAAGGGTGACTTAGCAGATGTTGCAACTGAAAAATCTTAGTGTTCTACTTGAAGTTAAAATTTCTATTCTATTTTCAAGTACTGTATTATTGTCTGAGAAGGCAGTTATATCTTCGTGACAGTAGTTTGCCAAAGATTATGAATAACTACATAGCTATCATTTGTTTGTGTGTGTTTTTGCTTGTATTGTAAGTGATAAAGAGTTAGAAATGGCTGCCACCAAATAATGAACACATCTGCCATTACTTCCTCTTATCAAGAACAATTAAAGGATGGGTATTATAATCAGTGTTGAGGATTTATTATAACTGTCATTATGCACTTTGAGAATTTTGTTGCTTTTTGTTTTGCCATTATACCCTATGATATGATTGCTATGATAATGACAGAAATATTATTGTGCACCAAAATTCATTGTATTGAACTTTTTGTGCCAAGGATTGCACTCCACTTTACAATTGGTAAATGCAGTCTATATTTCATGCATTCTATGCACTGCCCTCTCCAGTAATATACATGAGAAGCTGCACAAAATAAAGGTATCGCATTCTTACTCTGATGTCCATAAATGTACATCTATCAGATTTGTCAAGTTTAATTAAATGTATGGACACTTGGGATTTTTTTTTTTAGTAGACTTGTTTGCAAGCCATGATAAAAAAAAATAATTGTGCTCATTTATTAAAAATGATTACATTATTATTTAATTTACTGTATATATTAAGATCATTACTGTACTGTACTCTATGGAAAGATTACATAGTGGGGTCTTAATCTATAAAAAGAGTGGTTTTCCTGGATAACCTAATGCAAATTCAAATACAGTACTGTAATGAAGTTAATTTCAGCTAGAAAATACAAATACCTGTACATGAAGTACAGAATGTTTGAGAGCTGTCATGACACTAATACAATCCAAAAGATGAATAAACCAAGTAAAAATATATAATAGGTAATAATATATATTACCGAGATAGGTAAAAAGTCATAAGGTCAGAGGTCTGTCTGAAGGGGGACTTCCCCTTCCAAACACTACATCTCTCCTTCCCCAGCATGCAGGTCGGCGTTCGATCCCCGACCGTCCAAGTGGTTGGGCACTATTCCTTTTCCCCGTCCCACCCCAAATCCTTATCCTGACCCCTTCCCAGTGCTATAGAGTCGTAATGGCTTGGTGCTTTCCCCTGACAATTCCCTCCCTCTCCTTCCCCTCCTCACTGTCTTCCATACGCCAACACGAGTCATCAATATAGGCAAGCTATAACTTTTACATACTTTAGTACAAAATATTTGTGTATTATGTATAAAATATATTTTGAAGTTCATATTTTTGGGTGTGTAAAACAAATTAATTCTATTTACATTAAGAAATAATGTAAATTGAATTCATCCGTTCCACACAATTTCATCTATCCTTCACACGTTATAATTACAATGTCAGCTAGTTAGATAATATATAGCTCTTGAAATAGAACATTTTCAGTTAGTCATTATACATTAATGGTGGGTCTTATCCCACCATTAATGGGTATGGGGTCCGACCTTTGTCGGACCCCATACCAACTCTGTAGCCGCTAGTAGACCCCATATTCATCCAGTGGGTGGTAGTGAACCATATACACATCCTCTTGGCGGTAGTGTATCCCATTTATATATTTATTTATTCATTTATTCATTTACAAGAAGGTACATTGGGGGTTAACAGAGAACATAGAAATTAAGTTGATTTTACATTCTTGTAAAGCCACTAACACGCATAGTTTAAGGACTTGCCCGAAACGCTAACAATTTTTAGATAATTCACAGTAAAATTGATTTTTTTTTTTACATGTACTTTATAGCTTTACTTTACAGGTACAGATAACTTTAAGTAGAATAATTACAGAAAAATTGTAAAAAATATTTAAAGGTGGTACATTGCAAGAAATTTTGACACAAAGATCAGAATAACACACAATAATGAACAGGGTTTACTAGATGCATAAGATAACATTACATGGTTATACATTGGTTCACTGAAGCACAATATGAGGATCATTTCAAGGAATTATGCAGTAGAACATGTGCTCAACACAACCACCATGATGTCAACCCATACCCATCCAGTGGAGGGTAGTGAACCCCGTACCCATCCTGTGGGCGGTAGTGGACCCAATACCCATTCAACAGGTGGTAGAGAACCCCATACCTATTCTTTTTTATTGTAGTGGACCCTCCCATAAACATCGTGTGACGTGTTGTAGATTCTTTAGCTATCCTGTTTGCAGTAGTATCCCATAGACATTCCAACGGTACATCGTTTTCTGTTGACGTTCCTACAATTCGTTCTCTTTAAGAGTTTCAAAGCATTCACTATTATATATAATGTTTGGCGAAAGCATCATTATTATATGTAATAATTTATAGTGCTTATTATAATTTACTGAGAAGCATCAAGATTTCTCCTAAGTGCTGACCTTTAACAGAATGCACTGTAGAATAGTGGTTTAAATCACGGGTTGAAACATTACGTGACACATAATGGAGACATTAAAACTTTTGTAACTTTCGATTTTAGTATAGAGCATTCATCCGTCAACAGCTATCATCTTCGCTGACGACTTTACTACAATCTTAATTATTAAGCCTTAAAATTATCCAAAATAAGGAGCCATAGGTGGTAGCTATGTATATCACTGAAATTGAAATAAGTTTATTGCACCCCGTATGGTATGGATACCATACAGGATGCAGTACCTATCTGATTAGAGAGTATACCAACCGTTTTTGAGACTTTCTTGGTTGTGTGTTGTATGTGGGTGCCGAAGTCGAGTCTTGTCTAGGTACAGGCCAAGGAAACTTCCACCCCTTTATTTTCTCTGAATATTGCTGCCCTCGGGCTGCTCAAAGGCAATCATATATGGTAATCAATTCCATCCTTGCGAGCAAATGGTTTGGCTAAATTTAGAGCACTCTGTGCTCAGTCCCACAAGGTCTCCGTGCCGTCCTGTGCTCAGTCCCACAAGGTCTCCGTGCCGTCCTGTGCTCAGTCCCACAAGGTCTCCGTGCCGTCCTGTGCTCAGTCCCACAAGGTCTCCGTGCCGTCCTGTGCTCAGTCCCACAAGGTCTCCGTGCCGTCCTGTGCTCAGTCCCACAAGGTCTCCGTGCCGTCCTGTGCTCAGTCCCACAAGGTCTCCGTGCCGTCCTGTGCTCAGTCCCACAAGGTCTCCGTGCCGTCCTGTGCTCAGTCCCACAAGGTCTCCGTGCCGTCCTGTGCTCAATCCCACAAGGTCTCCGTGCCGTCCTGTGCTCAGTCCCACAAGGTCTCCGTGCCGTCCTGTGCTCAATCCCACAAGGTCTCCGTGCCGTCCTGTGCTCAGTCCCACAAGGTCTCCGTGCCGTCCTGTGCTCAGTCCCACAAGGTCTCCGTGCCGTCCTGTGCTCAGGTCTCCGTGCCGTCCTGTGCTCAGTCCCACAAGTCTCCGTGCCGTCCTGTGCTCAGTCCCACAAGGTCTCCGTGCCGTCCTGTGCTCAGTCCCACAAGGTCTCCGTGCCGTCCTGTGCTCAGTCCCACAAGGTCTCCGTGCCGTCCTGTGCTCAGTCCCACAAGGTCTCCGTGCCGTCCTGTGCTCAGTCCCACAAGGTCTCCGTGCCGTCCTGTGCTCAGTCCCACAAGGTCTCCGTGCCGTCCTGTGCTCAGTCCCACAAGGTCTCCGTGCCGTCCTGTGCTCAGTCCCACAAGGTCTCCGTGCCGTCCTGTGCTCAGTCCCACAAGGTCTCCGTGCCGTCCTGTGCTCTCCCACAAGGTCTCCGTGCCTACTTACTGCCAGGTGAACAGAAGCATTGGGTGAAAGGAAATGTGTCCAACTATTTCTGTCCCGCCCGGGATTCAAACCCGGAATTCTCTTATTGTGCGTCGAGAACGAACCCAACTGTACCACCGGAACCTTTAAAGCACAGGGTCTCTGTAGTATATGTAACTTTGGTATATTTATTTCTACAAGAAGGTACATTGGGTATGAGAGAACATAGCATTGATGTGTTTACATTCTTCTAAAGCCACTAACACGCATAGCGTTTCAAATCAAATGTTTATTCCGGTTTTATTTGATTTATTCGGGAACATACAAGGTCTACAAACAATGTTGGATTTCTCTAAAGAGCAGCAGGTACATACTATGCCTAAAGCCACTAATATGCACAGCGTTTCGGGCAAGGTGTGGGGGAAAGTATCAAAAGGCGGCACCAAACCAGGAAGGCTATGTAGCTGTGGGGTAAAAACACTGACAAACTTAATTTATGCTTTGATCTCAATTAGTATCGAGTTGAAAAAGGGAGGGGGAAAAAAATATGGCAGAAATCAGTACTGTAGTTGTACAAGTTGGTCAACAAACAGTATTGTTTGAAAACTGCAAGACATGGGTTGACATTTAGGGGGTAAGGTAGGTTACATGGAGTTTATTAGGTAGTACTTAGTTTTACCCTTAAACTGGTTGAGAGGGGTATAGCCTTTGACATGATTGGGAAGGTCATTCCACATTCTGGGTTTCTTGATTTGCAGAGCATTTCTAGTTTAGCCAAGTCGCTCTCTTGTAATATCAAATAGGTATTTGTTTCTGGTGTGGTGCCCATGGGTTCTGTTACAACCTTCCAGGAAGCGTTTAAGGTCAGGATTGGCATCACTGTTCAGAGTTTTAAATATATAGAACACATTTAAGAGGATGTGCAGTGACAAATCTTTGAATATGTTATATATTAAGGGTACCGAGTGCTGTCTGGGGGGCCAGCGTTTATTATTGTTGTGATAGCCGATTTGTGTCGAGTAATTAGAGGGCGTAGATGATTTTCGGTAGTAGAACCCCCAAGCACATACCATAATTGAGCTAAGGATAGACGAGAGTAATAGCATCACCAGGGCAGGGCGAGGTACATAATATCTGATCTTATAAAGAATTCCAACAGTTCATAAAGTTTTTTTTGCTATATTTTGAATGTAGCCCTGGAAATTCATTTTGTTATCTATGAGAACAAGAAAATATATTAGGTTTTGTCAATGTTAAGGGCGAGTTTGTTAGCTGTTAGATTAAGGACCTGCCCGAAACTGCTATCAGTTTTAAGTAGGTAATTTCTAACAAAATTGAAGAAATATTAACAGGCACATTGTAAGAATTTAATGTACCTACTAATGTTCGTCAAAGTAAAATTTGAGTTATCGACAGATACATTGTAGCATAGTTTCAGGATTATTTCGAGGTATAATGTAGTAAAATGTGTGTTCAATATAACCAGGATATAAGATTATAGCAATGATTACAATGGTAAGTTAGGTACATATAGATTTAGGTACATATAATGGGGGATTGAGTAGCACAAGATACAGTGCGAGTTAAGGCACTAGGGTTAGAAACCGAGGACGAAATTGGGTACTTTTAGGTTTTATTTTTTAATAAGGCAAAAGTTACAGCTTTTTAATTCGTTAGTGAGCGAGATCCATAGACCAGGTCTCTATTTGCATAGTGTTTTTACACAGATTAAGTCTGACTTGGGGATATCAAAGATTTATTTCTGGTGTGGTGATTATGGGTTCTATTACATCTGTCAAGGAAGTTTTTCAGCACAGGTTTGCACTTAACAACAGGGTTTTGTACATGTAAATGACACAAGAGAGTGTGGAATGAGTATGTTTAGCATTTTTAGGAATTTAAAGACGGGAGTGACGAAGATTTCCCGGTGGAAGACCGGGAAGGGAGGAAACGCCTTGTGGGGATCACCATGAGGAAGACCAGCAGTCTCAGAATATAAAGGATGAGATGAGGTAGTGGTGTCTGGGTCTATGGCCTGGAAACGGTGGCAGAACTGAGAAAGTGAGGGTGAAAAGTGGAACACACGAGCACAAGACCTGTCCCAGGGGGGGGGGGGGGATGAAGGCTGCTAATCTAGCGTCTCGCTTCGGGGAAAAGACGATCGATCACCGCTTTAAATTGAAATGATTTTCTCAAACTTATAGGGCACACCTGGGGGGTGAGGGGAAGAAAGTAAGGTGGGCGTCACTGCAATTTATGCAGCGAGCTTGGGAAGAAGAGCACTATCTCGGAATGACTATGCTCAACATGAAGGAAAAGGGGGCGGGGCCCACGTCTCACTAGCGCACTGCAAGAGACCTTGTCCAAATTTCTAACATCTATTGCAGAGCCGAGGAGAGGTGATGTACTACTAAACGGAGCAGCGGGCACCAGCACGAATTATATTAGTGACCTATCAAGTGATTTTTTTACTAGAAGCAGCTGACGATGACTAACCTCTCCCAGGAAGGTCGAGTAAACTTATCAATCTGGAGGATGAACAGCCTTGAGGATATATTTAGTATCCTCGTGGAGGTCTGAGGTCCCTATCACCAGTCGCGACACAGTGCGGGATAACCGTGCCAATGCTAGCATTTAACCGGGCATTTTAAGAGGTCCGAACTGGGGTCTGGTCAATGCAGGACAACGTAGCCAGGCGGGCGGCGGCCGCATCTTGAGAAGGGGGCTGCCACTACACTTGTTCCAGTCCGGGTGGAGTTAGAAGACAAGGGGAGCCACAGAATCAACTAGGTGTTTATGGAATAAATCAGGAGGTGCACGATCACCGTGACTGATCAAAATACTGGTTCACGTCTCCCAGAGACCAACGTGACGACCAAAATTGGTCCACTTGGCAGGACCAAACAAATCCTGGACCGTAGTAAGTAGACCGAGAAGGTATCGCGAGTGTTGGAGTGCGGGGGGTGGCAGCGCCAAGCTGGACCCCAGTATGGAGCGGGTAAAAGGCTTGGTTGTCACAAGATAGAGCCACTGGGGGCTCGGCGCTCAACCCTGCCACGGAGGTGGGAGGGGAGTAGAGATTCAATCCATTGTGTCGTAGAAGCGGTTTTGTCTGGTCCCAACAAAGCCCCGCTCCTGTGCCAGGTAAGTCCACTACGGGCTCACCCTAGTCTGTGCTACTTTGAAACTTTGTTCCCAGTACCTGAATCTTTAACAACTGGGCCCAACGTGGCCAGGAATACAGAGCCTGTTCTTCTACCAAGGTCGGGGGCGTGGTCGTCCACCCCACCAACCTGAGAAGTTGAAAGAGGGTCAGAAGTCTGCAAATAACGAGCAAGAATAACATTTCATCCACGAATAAGCCTCCTCACGATAACTGGCTGGATAGCGAGAAGATTGAGGTGTATGAACATGCCCCCCGTCTCATTTCCATTATATGTGGTAAAGAAAACCATGTATTTTCAGCTAATATTGCCCATTTTTAATTTAATATTAATGATATTTGATAACTTAAATACACAAAAACTTAAATGACTTGCAATGCCAAGCATTTTACTTAGAATAACGTGTCCATATGAAGGCCAGCACAGTCATAGAGAGGAGGAGAGTGAGTGACTGTGGAGCAGAGGCCTGACAGCAGGCAGCCAAGAGAATGTCCGCCACGACACACCAGGCCTTTTGCAGCCTTGCACCCCCTCGAGGCTGCAATAGTGATGCCAACCTCCTTCCCACATTCTGCCTGGAACTTGTGTGCACCCTGCAGAGCGCCTCTACAGGTAACAGGCGCCCATACACCACTAGGAGCGAAGCATCGGAGGTCAGTGTGATGGCGTGCACAATCTACATGCAACTGGGCGCCTCGTTCAGCTGGTATGAGCAAAGTAGGCAATGTGGAGTGTACATTAACCTCACTCACTTTCTTGGAGCCAGTCAGTTCTTCTATATACCGCAACACCAAAGTGCAACCATCTCCAGAGACCAGGGGCTTAAGCAGCTCCCGAGTTACCATAAGTTCCTGATACAACCGTCGCTTGATGCCTTTACGAGTGATGTCATACTGCAGAAGAGGCAGCCAGCCCTCGGCAGCTCCCATCAGCCTCACACTGGCCGCAACTGAAGCTACTGGAACAGATGCGGTCACTACGTACGATCCCCGCCATGTCCGAAGTCCACCAGTTAACAATGACTTTGAAGCCAGTACAATAGATTCAGTAGGTTCAAGGTTCGGATCTTCTTTCAGGAATCTCCCCGGCTTGTCATCATGTGCACGATACATGAAGGCGAGAAGCTCAGACTGATTGGTGCGCATGCTGTCGTGCAGTTGGGTCTGGAAAGGCAATATCCACACTGCCGAGAAGATTTTGTCGGCGGCTAATATGAGGTGCCAGCTCTCCGCGTTACCCAGGAGGAGGATGGGAGATGGAGTCAAGTTCAGCTGGATCTTCACTCGCTCAACCAGCTCCTCGGCCCGAGTCGTCTCGTAGTAGTGCATCACCTGCATCACAAGGAACATGTCAACACAACTTGCATCCTACGCAGGCATTGAGTCAACGTGGCTGATGTTGACCAGACCACACACTAGAAGGTGAACGGACGACGACGTTTCGGTCGTCCTGGACCATTCTCAAGTCGATTCTCATGACAATCGACTCTAGAATGGTCCAGGACGGACCGAAACGTTATCGTCCCTTCATCTTCTAGTGTGTGGTCTGGTCAACTTGCATCCTACGTTTACATTATGCATATTGAGGTGACAATGGAGTCAATAAGGTCATTCAACTGCTGTAATTTGAAACTATATTTCACCAATTTAAATGGTTGTATTACCATTCAGTCTTTTAACGTCTCTACAATTGCTTGAGTAAAGCACTTAAAGATTAAGAATTTAGAATGAAGTTAACTTTTGCGGAGTTAATAAGCCAATGAGAGGATGATAACAGAGCACAAATACTTTAGTAACAACTGACTGAACTGAAGATTGCAAGAGATCTTTTAGGGATCTAAAATCAGGGCCTTTTAATTTAACAATTAGAAACCTTACTAATTGGAGTTTCCCATAAAGGGTGTTGACCGACATCAATTATGACATGTTAAAGGTTTTTGCAATATAGGTGGCTGAAAACTCACTTGTTTGGCACCAACAGATGTAGATATCTAGCAACTGCACTCTCCCAATAAACTTGTATCCGTACCAACCCCAAAAAATAAATGGTTTTATGAGGGGGCAAAGTAACCCATGAAGAAACCTATGTCCAGTGCTTCATTTTTTTTTTACCTTCGTAATTAGGTAAGGTAATTACAAGAAAATGCTTTGCGAGTAAGAGTAAATATTTACTCTCATAATTACCTTTCTACGGAGGCCAGTGTGAAGGGCAGCGACAAGTCTCTGAACATGTACTAAATTCATGTACTAAATGTGAAATATTGAGTGGAACATTTATACAAGATTACAAATGAACTGGAATGTATATACAGAAGTGTTGGCGTCACTGACGAGACTAAAACACGCAACACAGGACAAACCATTATTATAACCAATACATTTGAACAGCTTATCCAGACAAGAAATGGCAGTTTGATGTGAATTGTTCTTTTAGTAAAAACTCTAGAATCTACTACAAAAAAGCTCTTCAGCTTATAATAAATCAAAAGACTGATTAAAGGACTACATTAATATTGCCATCTAATCTTATTCCACAATAAAAATGTGTTAAAAGCGACCAGCCAGTGGGCTTAATACCAAGAGTGATGTGCGACACTTGGATGTTGTGTCAATGGGTAATTACTAATACTTCTGGTTCACCTTCCACCAAGATTAATGTCTTACCAGACGAGCAACTTTGCAATCATACTATACAAATTATTATATTAAGTATAACCAGTCAAGTGTCCTACAATGATCATTAATAACAGTGCCGCCTCGACATTCAACTCTTTACTTTACTTCCTGTTAGATGGGCGTATTAGATGAACACACAAATCACAATAGCGTGATGCATCAAATGAACGAATCCACAAGGGCCGTGACGAGGATTCGAACCTACGTCCGAGAGCATCCCAGACGCTGCCTTATCCTCTTCGAATCCTCGTCACGGCCCTTGTGGATTTGTTTATTAGATGAACTTAAGAGTTGGCTTTTGATCTACACTGTAATCTCTCATATAGAATAGGGTAGCAGCACAATGTGTATATCTAAGCTTGTTAACCATAAAAAGCTGTTTTCCCATTAAGAAAATGACAAATTTGATCATACTAATCTTACCCCTGAAAAATGTGGACATCTAAGCAAGATTACCGACATTAAAAATAGTGTCATGACAGGATAGGTATGGGACGCATAATAAATGAACTAAAACTACTTGCGATATCAGTGAATGAATCTGAAGTTTACAACTCTAGCCAGGAACAGTGTCAAGATTTAGAGGACGAGTACCTTCGTGGGACGGAGACCAACTGAGTGGAGGAGAGCAAGGAAGGCATCAGTGTGGAGGGAGGCCCTGGCCACCACCAGGGGCCGTATGGTGTGGATGGTGGCCAGCAGGTCCCCCAAGGCCGCGGCCAACACCCGCGCCGACGGCTGAACTCTGGCCACGTTCCGGGCGCTCTCCAGGTAGGTGGAGATGGCCGTCGGGGTCACAAATCTTGCTCCTGTAGATACATTATGTCGGTCATCACTCTTCACCCTTTATCAAATGTTAAATCTGATCCGATAAATCACTGATGCAGACATCTTCTAGTGGAGCAAAATTGCAATATAAAATCTAGTAAAATTGATAAATAATCAGAAAATGATAAAAACAATCTTTCCAAAACAGCGAGACCATCGATATCCGAATCAACCCATCCTCCTGATTAGATAGTACGTTTTGCGACTACGTGGACCATCGTACACATTAACTTAATGGATAATTATATAGTAGAATTTGGCACTTCAATCTATAGTCTGCAAAACAAGAAATATTAAACATTCCTAGGCCTAATATAGCACCTATATATTATATTGTCCTTCATAACGTATTAGATCTAGGATGGTTAGATTTAATTGTATTAGCAACACTAATATACAAAGCTTTTTCCGGTTTACCCAAATTCAACTTTTATAATTGTCCATTACGTCAATATACAGGTATGGTCCACATCGTTACTATAATATCTATACAGAAGGAGTCAAAAAATCAACCTTTTCCCCGGGAGACTGACCACGCATTCCTTGCCTCGTGATCCAATAGGGCGAGTCTACCAAGCAATGCTTGAGATACCAGAGAGATCTACAAGAGCATATTGAAGCCATGATCTGCTTGCCCACAAATATACCGATTGACTCACTAAGAATGAATAGATAAAAGGGCCTTGGGAATAAGGTTTTGAAGGAGTGCGCGTGGTTCGTGTGACTACTCCAGCTGCGGGAGAGTATTTTGGTACATTTTGTAACGATTCCTTCTGCAGGTTGGTCATCCCTATTGGCAGAGTTTGGCTTTGTCACACGTGTCGTATGGTCCTCTACCTGCCCGACACTACACCCGAATTAACTAGCAAAAGATTTTCCCTCGGCACTAAACACATGACCTACACAAAAGTGAAACGTCACATTAAAATAGTTTGAAATATGGAGTATATAAAAAACAAAAACCTCTCAATACGTGAAGACGAGGGAGGCACCCACCTGGAGCCTTGGCTCGGGCCCAGTGGGCCACCGTCAGGGCCTCCTCGTCCGTGAGGTAGCCGAAGTAACGCGTCGTGCCGTGGATCTCATAGAAGTGCTGCGTTAACTTCCTGCACAAGGTCACAATGATTAGTTTAATGACATCATCCAGTACGATGTAATATGGTTTAAGTTGTATCATGCACTCACGAATGTTGAACATTAACCTGGGTGTTATGGTAAAGTAGCACGCACGCCATTTTGGCGTCGTTCCTTAATCAAACTACGTCTATATTCGAAATTTAGTCTTACACAGCCTCTGAAATCATGCACTTTATGCCTCTAGGACAACTTTCCCTAAGATTCATGTATTTTTTTTTTTTTACAAGACATTTTTAAACGTGTAAAAGTCATAATTTATAATGCTACACACACTCCCGCCTGGCACAGGGCTACACCCCGGCCCATATATCTGCGCTTTTAGTCTTGTTTTTAATAGACACATTGAGAAAGGCATTTAAATTTAGGCAGATACATCTCCATCACATTCCAAACCGGACTGGCAGGTATTTATGCAGACCAAGGAATTAATTCCTTCATTCCTGGGTTGCACACCACCGGAGTAAGGGGTCACACGGCCTGGCCTCACCTGGCAACATCTGGATCACTCTGGGAGTCTCTGACGAGGACGCCGGTCGGGAGGAACCCCTTTCTGGTACTGTTTGTGAAAGATTCCTTCTCCACGTTGGTGTCCTCGGACGCCGCCTCCAGTAACGCCTTCAGTCTACGTCCATAGCTGCAGAGAGCACGAGCGACGTGAATAAACCTCCAATATCAAGAGAAAAACCATTTAATAATAATCGCCACTAACCCAACTTAAAGAGAACTGTCTACAGGAACACAGCCCCCCACCCACTTCCCACCTGCACCGCTTACCTCTCAGTCACTGAGGTTGATAATTGGGTCTTGGTTGGTTGGGATAAGCTTGTTATACCCGTGTTAGATGTTATAGTGTAGTGCAATACAGGGAACAGCTAAGAACAAATGCAATTACAGCCGAGAGCAGTAGGAAGGAAAAAATTTGTGGAGATGGTGACAGTAGCAGCAACAATAAGGAAAGGGAACGTCCTAAAGAAATAAACATGGCTACACGAAATATGCTATTAGAGGCCCAAAGGAAAGAGGAACAGAACATAAAGAGGACTGCTATCCTGAAATATCAACTCCATAACAGTTGAAGGAAAATATATTCACTAGTAAGATATGTGGAGGAGGAGAGAAAGCAAGGTGGTGAGAGGGGTACAAGCTTCACTAGCAGGGCAGTTACTGGAAATTCACGAAAGGGAGAAAGAAAAGGATAACAGGACTAGATCATTGTGGACCTAAATGCAAGCATTAACAAGAGAGGAACTAACTTTAAGGATTTAGAGGAACTGAGGGGAAATAAACCACGAGGGGAAATGTACTTGGGCTTCAGGATACAATAAGATCAGATAAAGGCAGCAAGAAAAAAGAACGGAACAAAAATATACAGCATGTAATGGATAAATGGGGAACAAGAACTGACGAAACATTTGCTGTAGTAGTCAAGTAGTCAAAGGGAAAACATAATTAAAGTAACAGTAATGGAAGTTATAAAAGGCCAGCAGGTTGCGGAAAGCAAGGCAGGAGCTGGAGGGAGAAGTCAGTGACTCTACAATCCACTAGAGCCAGAGGGGGACAACAAAGAAGGTGACAGCAAGATATTACAGGAATTCATGAAAATACAGGCTAGAGGATCTACTAAGGAAATCTAGCATTACTGTAGGCTTGGTGGGTTCCAAGTAGGGAAGGACGCTAGGTGCTGGCACCCTGTGTGGTGACCAATAGTCAGTGCTGTAGACTCGCACCACAATGATCCCAGGCTCGATTCCCAGGTAGGACGAAAGACCTCAAGGGCATCCTGTACCGGTAGGACAGTCAGGCTCGTCCTCTACTCAATCTAGAATTCCCGATTCGAATTCCGGCCGAGACAGAAATGGTTGGTTATATTTCCTATCACCTAATGCATCTGTTCACCTAGCAATCATTAGGAACAGTTAACATGTTATGGGGTTGCATCAGGGGGGGGGGCAGTCAAGTAATTCTTCCTTAAGTGGAGGACCTCAATACAAGTAACATTTATATATACACTGGCTGCCTATCCCTCCATACAATGGATTGTATTTAAATATACCCAACAGTCAAAGTCCCCGTGGTGTAGTGATAAAAGACACTCCTGGCGTTTCGCGAGCGCTTTGTCCAGGGTTCGTATCCTGGCAGGAAAAGATTTACTGGGCGCCAAGCCTTAACTGTAGCCTCTGTTTACCCAGCAGTAAAATGGGTACCCGGTTGTTAAACGATTGGACGGGTCGTATTCCGGGGGACATAGGATTAAGGACTTGCCCGAAACGCTATGCGTGCTAGTGGCTGTACAATAATAAGAGCTCAAATAAATATTAAACGGAAACCAACATGCAAGTAGCACCATCTTGAACAGATCCCCCTTCTAATATTAAATAACCATTTTCTGTAGATCTTAAATAAGGTCAATAGAAAACTAAATATTGCACTTTAGTTGCGTGATAAACTGCTATAAATATCTTTGGGAATTTTCATCATAATGCTCATGTGAACCTAACCAAATGTCAACTCAAAATTATTCGCACACCATCTGTCACTATAATGGAGTGCAAATAGATACTAATTCAGGAACAATTCTATAGCAAATGTTCAGGAGGTGTAAATATTTCTTTACAAAAATATCTGCTACCAGAAATCTTTGCCAAATATCCCTAGTTTGCTAACTGTAGGTTGTAACCAAGTGATTGTAACCTATCCACCGCTGCCCACTGCATAGGTGGGAAAGAGGGGGATGTGCAGGATAAACAAATTGTAACACTAGCTCTCCATATGTGTTAAGTTACTTAGCTTAAGAAGTGTACTTATAGATTGACAGTTGAGAGGCGGGACCAAAGAGACAAGGCTCAACCCCCGCAAGCACAAATGGGTGAGTACAAATAGGCGAGTACTTTGGGTCTGTCTAGCCCCATTGTTGATGTAACAATTTAATTTTGTAGCTAGCTAATCAAAACTTTTTTTAACTAAATTAATTGTGGGGTTCAATCCTTGAGCCCATTATGTGCCTCTAAGCCTTTCCACTACCGCCCACAGGATGGGTATAGGGTGCATAATAAACTGGAAAAAACTGACCTGATGCCCAGGTTGCCAGTGTGGCCTCTGAGGGGCAGGAGGAAGGCCACAGCGTCGGGGTCAGCAGGGTCACTGCCCACAGTGTCCATCAGACCCTCAAGCTCGTCTGAGTACTCCAGCGGGTCAGCCACCGCCTCCTCCACCCCACCTGCCGTCGCCACCTCCACCTTTAAAAAGTCCTCCAGATTGCAGGCGGTGAGTCACAATAACGTGGCTAAAGTATGTTGACCAGACCACACACTAGAAGGTGAAGGGACGACGACGTTTTGGCCCGTCCTGGACCATTCTCAATCTACTTTAGAATGGTCCAGGACGGACCGAAACGTCGTCGTTCCTCCAGGTTACTGCCACAATACAAGAGACGCTCTGTGGGTTCAATGATTGACGAATGTATCTGGTTCCGGCCCTGAACATTATGCTTGTTAGTGGCTTTTCAAGAACGTAAAAACATCAATGCTATGTTCTACTCTCACACCCATGTACCTTTTTGTATATACAAATAAAAATCTGGTTCTGCCAATCGGGATAACTAACGTGAACTGGAAGCGAGAGTGCTTTTCTGCCGCTGTTCAATTGTTTCTTAAAGTTCCTTGGTCAAGGCTCAAGGCTCAAGTCTCGTCAATCGCCTTGCCTTGATTACTCTTTGCTCACATTCTAATTCTGTTTTGGGGATATGTACAATAATATTTTTAATCAAAAAGGTCATTTTCATATATTTGTTCATTACGTTGAACCCATCCTTACATGTTGTTACTCCAAAGTCGTGGCATACAACACTGTCGCCACTTTACACCTCTTGACCGTCTCAGTCTGCCGCTTGTAAGTGCTAAAGTGTGAACAAAACACTACAGATCAGGGGGATGCGTGCTCTTGTCACGAGTAAAGTTGTCACGCGGTTTCACTGGACTAGTGTGTACACAGGATAAGCCAAGGTCAAATTGTTATACTAACTAGAGAATTATAGGACACTAGTGATAACCAATTCAATTTGCTCAAAATTAAGAAGAGCAAACCTCGCTCCTGACAGCTGTACACAAATTATTTCCTTTACCGTCAGATTCGAGGTCCTAGTTCGATTGCTACTCACTTGTAGCGTTTTAGTCGTGACTAATGCGAGTATTACAAGAGTTGTAGTGCTACTTCCTAAACATACGAAATTACCAGACAAAACGCTAAAATAGCTATATAGGATCACATTGCAAGTCATGATTCACAAGACATAACGATACAACATGACAAAGCCATTCCGATTAAGTTTATCGATGAATTAATGTAAAATCTGAAGCAGTTTCAGATCACGCTGAATTAGACTATTCAGTACAGAGAAATAATGCAATTCAGATAGTAAAAAGCAGGTTTTCTGTCCATGAGGCCCAAAGTTAACCTTGTGAAGGTGATGTTCAACATCTAAGGTAGTTCACACCCACCAATCCTCATTTCCTATTTCAGTTCAACACGTTGCATTCTGGCGCAGGAATAACTCATATAATGAGTTTCGAGGTTTGTTTATGACAGCTTTTAACAGCAGCGAGACGAGCGAGGAAGGTCAAAGGTCACGTGATGGCGTGATATCACTGCAAGTAGCTAACCATCTGTCAAGTCTAGAAATATTTATTACAAAGTAAAGAGTAAGCGTGGGAGGGAGACTGGACACGTTTAACTCTCATCGCTAGCACATTGAGGCAACAATGTCAATCTGTCAATCAAAACAATCCGTTTATTTTCTTGTACATGCTCATGATATAACTTCACATTTCTATGGCATTAGAAGTTTCATTTTTCTAGGTGTAGCAACTATATTAAGCTATATAATCGCTCCAAATTTTTCAGACGTTCCATTGCAGGCAATTAAATATGCTTGTTAATTCCACAATTTATCGCAAAGAACTCCACACAAATTCGATGTGCACTTGTTAGAATTGGCACTTCCCAAAGGTTCCAGGAATCACACTAGACAGCCGAAAGGTAACCAGCAGATGGTGGTCAACTTGGCAAGTCAGTAGTGTGGACTGACAGCTGTCATGACCAGGGCGTCGTCAGGAACTCCAGCAGTGGTTTGCAGCAGTTCACAGAGGTTCTGTATATACTTCCGATCTCTAAGTATGCCCCACGAGACGTTTTAAGGCAGTGATCGAGGAAGGGTAGTTTGAGTGGGGAGAGGGACTAAATCCTTCTGTTTACGAATGTAGAAAAAAATTGACAATCGGGACTTAATAGAATAGAAAAAGCGAGACCAAAATACTCTCACAAATGAGTCGGTCACCACGACACCAACAGATCACGCCTTTCACTGTGGCCAAGATCCCCCGGGGTGGGAGTGATCGTCAGGGGCCTCGTGTCGTCACTGGTCAAGCCAGCGTCCCGGCGCTACACAACTACCACACTAGACTGACCAAGAAACTCGCAGCTTAACCCATCATAAAGCACATTATTACACGTGTTGCTATAGTCCAATTCTCACAAGATTCATGGCAATTTGGTAAGCGTGGCTATGGCACTCCAGGTAGTATGGAACACTAGGTAAGGGGAGAATCTAGTGCGTTTCCCGCCAAATGAGGGCACTACCACTGTACCACACAGCCTCGAAATTTGCCATTAACGCTTGAGTTACTAGGCCTACAACACAGTCTTCCCTCCCCCCCTGCCGGGACCAAGACAAATCATCCCAGGGTACCTCCGTACAGCCTCACCTGGTAATCCGTTATCACTTGCTCCTGTAACTGCTCGTCGACCACCTTGGGTATCTCCTGGCGGATTTTGTTCTTGGTGTCCGGAGGCTGGACGATGTACGGCACACCCTTGGCGACCCAGCGGTGGTCGCTCGCCTCGCTTAACGAGGCAGTCTCCCTCTCAGACTTTCCCTGTAATAAGACTTCAGATTTAGCATTCCAACGCCTTGTAAACTTTATGAATGTACTTTTCCCAAAAATATTATTGAAAGTAGAGAAGGTCCGTAGCAACTAACATTCAGACAAAACCCGTTTTCGCAACTTCCATGCAGAAGGAAGCCGCCAGCTCTGTGAAGAGGCAATAAATACTCTACTTCAAAAACTGGTTTTGGATGTGAACACAGAAACCAGTTATTTTGTGATGAACAATAAGTCAGTACACCATAATAAACCAGTTTACCGTGATGTACTGGCTGCGACCCCCGTGTTCAGAGGAAGCGTTCGAGCCTTCATGCCTCTGAGCAGTCCGGCCTCCTGAAGGCCTCCCGACGCCAAGAAACTGTCGTACTCTAGTGCCTTTCTCCTAACCTACCAGAGCACTCAAAAAAATCTAGACTCAATTCCGTGAGCCGCTACCATTTTCTAGTACGACAATTCTGAGCCTTATTTAGAGTATACGTCAAAGTGCGACGTTCTATTGGGAAGACGGGGTTAACAGATATGGGAGGGGGGGGGGTACAAACACCAAAGGCCACGACTCTACAGAGCTGTTACGCGTCCACTTACGACCCTGTACACCTTAATCTTTGCCGCCATTGTTTACATTAATTAAACAGTTTAGACACCTAACAATTGTTATAAACAGCCTCCGAGTGTTTCGGAGCTCAAACTTCAGTAAATATAAAAAGTCACCAAGGTTCAGAAAAAGATTTACAGATTCTTTAGTAACCGCTTGTCGAGTCCCGGTGCTGCTGAGCTTACAGAGGTTCCTTTATAGTTAAAATGTTGCCCACGGGGTCACCCATCCAGTACTGGCCACACCCTGACTTACCAACTGACAATCATTATGCTGCCCCCAATATAGTTTAGAAATAAGCCGAGAGAAACACGAGTGGCGAATATGGGACGATTACAAATATATTACCGTTGAACTAGATGCTCAAAAGACTTTTAAACAACAATTGTGTTTGGCATTCCAGCAGGACACCCAGAGACCAAACCTGTGAACAAGTTTGCTCACCAGGTGAAGGGAAGTGAACGCCAACCTGCATGAAGCCAGATTGTCGCTCTACCGTCCACCCCAAGCTCACCAGGTGAAACTGTAGCATGGGGAGGGCGACGATCATGCCCAGGACACTGGCGGCCATCACGGTCACCACCACCACCCCGCTCATGTCCTTGTCAGCGGCGGTGCACCTCCAAGTACTCCTCCTGGTGTCTGTCTCTGGATCACACAGCACCGTGGTGTCCGCCTTGTGACCCATGGCTGACTGGCGCTCAGGCTCGTGTAGCGGCCAGGCATCTCAAACACCCGCTTCGAGCACTAATGAACCTCGTTTTGAGTTTTGTCAAGCACGTGAAGCTTACCTTAATTTAGTCCAAATTATGTGTCAAATAACGTTATTTAATATTAACTAGAGTTGCAAAATACGTTATATAATTTCACCATAATACAAAATTTTGCGTATACGCTTTTGAGAGCGGGTGTATATATAATGAATATGTATTACACAAGATTGTGAATATCCTGAGTGTTGGAGAGAATCAGTTCCTCGATGGTGACACACTCTGACCTCACCACCCCATCACAACCCATCAGGAAACAAAGCGCTGTCAGGTTCACGGCAAGTCAAATATTGACTTAATGAACTCTACACAAGTCAATACTTGACGTACAGTTCACGTAGCCATGTTCGAAGCCTGTGTTGTAAACACTCCCAAAACCAAAACACTTTACCTAGGTGTACACACTTATAAACCCACGATATATACTAATATTAATCATTATTTGAGAAAATACTGAATTTTACATCACGGTATATAAAAATGTGGCATTCTGCTGTCAGCTGTCAGTCAGTATGTTGTCTTAGTGTTGGGTTCACTCACTCGAACCCTGAACCATCACATCCACCAGTCGAATCCAGTTCATTATCCACCCCTTGACCATCACATACAGCTTAACTCGAGAGCCATCATCCAGGCATAATATCTGGACAAGTCAGTATATTAACTATGCTCGGGTATGATGAAATACTGCGTGGTATAACGAGAGCTATACCCCGCTTCTCGGTGTGTATACACTGAGTGTGTGTGTATACATTCAGTGTATACACTGTATTCAGTGTGTATGTACTGAGAGTTTAGTTTAGTCTGGAACTGTGTTGAGGAGTAACGTGAACTCACTGGGACCAGATTCACGAAGCAGTTACGCAAGCACCTACGAACGTGTACATCTTTCCACAATTTTTGACGGCTTTGGTTACATTTAATAAACAGGTTTACAAGCATGAAAACTTGCCAATCAACTGTTGTTATTGTTATAAACAGCCTCCCGGTGCTTCGGCGCTCATTATCTGTTTAATAATTGTAAACAAAGCCGCCAAAGATTGAGAAATGAAATACAGGTTCGTAAGCGTTTGCGTAACTTCTTCGTGAATCTGGCCCCTGGCTGGTTAGTAAGTTATTGTGGCGGCCGTAATTAATAACCCGCCATAGACTGCAGGCCTTAAGCCGAACACCAATAACAACAACTACGAAAGCTTTTAGCGCTAAATCTACCAAAATCTACCATAGTTCAGTGTGGGGGGGGGGGAAGGGGGGTGTTCCTGGTTTGCGTGCTTGTAGGTGGTAGAAAGACTGTCGTTCTGACACAGTCTACAAGTGGGTTCGATTCTCTTACAACAAAAACAATGAATTTGGTCAAATCAGAGTCGTAGTAAATTTTGTCAATAAGGAAAATCCATAAAATAAACACAAATTCGCTTGCACACGTTGACGAGAAACAAGTGAATGTCAGAATACGCAGACATGCTAAGCTTGCAATTAAGATAGCCAGACAAAGAGCAATGATGTTGCAAAGGAAAGTTGAACTCTGTTTTAATTACAGGAAACAACAGGAAAAGCAAACAATTCTATCACCGATCAGTTTTCTACCTGGAAGAACTCCCCCTGCTTGATACCTGGTTGATGGGGTTCTGGGAGTTCTTCTACTACCCAAGCCCGGCCCGAGGCCAGGCTCGACTTGTGAGAGTTTGGTCCACCAGGCTGTTTCTTGGAGGGGCCCGCAGGTCCACATACCCACCACAGCCCGGTTGGTCCGGAACTTTTTTTTAGAAAATTGTCTAGTTTCCTCTTGAAGATGTCCACGGTTGTTCCGGCAAAATTTCTTATAGTCGCTGGGAGGACGTTGAACAACCGCGGACCTCTGATGTTTATACAGTGTTCTCTGTGCCTATGGCACCTCTGCTCTTCACTGGTTCTATTCCGCATTTTCTTCCATGCTTGGAAGACTGCTTGACTGCTTGCACGGACTGCTTGAGCAAGTCCGTGAGCCGCAGGAATGTCCCGTGATCCCAGCGGAGGAGGACCCATGTGCCACTAAGATAAAGGAAGATGACAATTGAGAAACTTCAGTATGATACCGCAAGAAATGAGGCGGAGGAATCTCGGGAAGGGGGGGGGGGGAGCATGTAGTTGTTGCTCAACAAATTTAAAAGTGGGACCCAAGAGGCAGAGGGAGTGAACAGGCAAGCACACATGAGCCGCCCTCACTCGCTCACATCTTGGCGGGAAATTGTCGCCGTTCCTCCCGATGGAAGTGTTTCCAGGGGCAGGCATGGCACCAGGGGGGCATGCATGGCACCAGGGGCAGGCATGGCACCAGGGGGCAGGCATGGCACCAGGGGGCAGGCATGGCACCAGGGGGCAGGCATGGCACCAGCCGGGACTGCCCTATCAACACGCAGTCCAGCCCCCCAGTTGCAGTCCTGTAATCTACAGTCTCACTCAACTGAACCATCCACGAGGTGTTGGTACGACGACGACTCTAACGCCCCGACCACCTCTGCAGCTCTGGCGTAAATAACGACTTCCTGGCAGCGGCTGACGAAGTGCACAACATCGTTATTCACCAACACAAACGGACACGTTGAAAACCCGTTCCATGCCATTGACGGAGTTTCAGTTTAGTTAATTTTTAAGCAGTACACACCCATCCTGTGAGTGGCAGTGGACCCAATTTGCATCCTGTTAACGGCAGTGGACCCTATACCCCATTTTGTGAGTTGAAGTGGACCCCCCCCCCCCACAGCCCATTTTCTGTTGTTGGCCCTGTGAATAATAGAGAATGCTAACACAGAGTGGGATCTCTACGTTAAGTAATTTACGTTTAGGATTAGGATTAATTTAGTATTTCTTATATAATATAATAATAATAATAATAATTTTTATTTAGGTAAAGGTACATACATAAAGAGATTTTACAAAGTTTGTTGGCTTTATAGATAGAGCTAGTACATACAATGCCTAAAGCCACTATTACGCAAAGCGTTTCGGGCAGGAAAAAACACTAATGACTAAAGCTTAAAATTAATGGGTAAAAAGAATAAAATGTGTTGAGTACAAATAAAAATAGAGGTAAAAGAGGGGGAACATTGTTGAAAAAGCAGCACAAATACAATTACAAATTATTACAGAAAATTACATTCAAACAGCGTTGATTTGAAAAAAAAAAAAAAAAAAAAAACATACATGGGTTGACAACAGAGGGGTAAGGTAGGTTACAGGGAATTTATTAGGTATAGCTTCGTTTTTAACTTAAACTGGTTGAGAGAGGTACAGTGTTTGACATGGTTGGGAAGGTCATTCCACATTCTGGGCCCCTTGATTTGTAGAGCATTTCTGGTTTGATTAAGTCGTACTCTAGGAATATCAAAACTATTTATTTCTGGTGTGGTGCTCATGGGTTCTGTTACAACCTTCTATGAAGCTTTTGAGATCAGGATTGGCATTATAGTTTAGCGTTTTATATATGTATAATACACATGAGAGAATGTGCAGTGACTTAATGTCTAACATATTCAGAGATTTGAGTAGGGGTACCGAGTGATGTCTGGGGCCAGAATTGGATATTGTCCTAATAGCAGCTTTGTGTTGAGTAATTAGAGGACGTAAGTGATTTTGGGTAGTAGAGCCCCAAACACAAATACCATAGTTGAGATATGGATAGATAAGGGAGTAATAGAGAGTCACCAGGGCAGGGCGTGGTACATAATATCTGATCTTAGAAAGAATGCCCACAGTTTTTGAAACTTTTTTTGATATGTTTAGAATGTGTCCCTGGAAATTCAGCTTGTGGTCAATGAGAATGCCAAGGAATTTGCCATCTAATTTGTTACAAATTTGGGTATTGTTTATTTTGAGATTTATTTGATTAGAGGATTTATTGCCAAACAGAATATAGAAAGTTTTGTCAATGTTAAGGGTGAGTTTGTTGGCAGTTAGCCAAAGATGGACTTTATTTAGCTCAGTATTTACTGTGGCATTTAGAGCAAGGGGATCAGGACTGGAGTAAATGAAGGTTGTGTCGTCAGCAAATAGAATTGGTTTGAGGTGTTGGGAGGCATTTGGAAGGTCATTAATGTAGATGAGAAAGAGGAGAGGGCCAAGTATGCTGCCCTGGGGAACACCAATGTTGATGGGTAGGGTGGGAGAAATTGTATTATTCACAGAAACACATTGGAGCCTGTCAGTAAAGTAGGATTTGAGGTATTGTAGGGAGTGTCCTCTGACACCATAATGATGTAATTTAAGAAGAAGGTTTTGGTGGTTGACAGTATCGAAAGCTTTACGCAGGTCCACAAATAACCCAACAGGGAACTCATTTTTATCAAGAGCTGTATGAATCGAGTTAAGCATACTAATATGTGCATCGTTAGTGCTTTTTTTGGGCCTGAAGCCATATTGGCAAGGGCTAAGTATATTGAGTTTGGCTAGATATGAGTAAAGCTGCTTATAGATTAGTTTTTCAAAATTTTTTGACAAGTTAGGCAGGATTGATATAGGTCTGTAGTTGTTAACATCTGTGAGATCACCACATTTGTGGACATTTGTTTCTAGTGAGATAGATAATTGTAATTTTAACTGACCTGTCATGCACCGTAGACACCCAGAGGGCGCCGCGCACAAACACACAACTCTCTCAGCTACCAACAGACGTAGACAATGCGTCAAGAGACGTAGACAATACGTCAACAGACGTAGACAATGCGTCAACAGACGTATACAATGCGTCAACAGACGTAGTAACACATCATTAGCAACGAGGGAGTACCGAGTATCTTTACGACGCGTCGCCGTCGGCGTGACGGACTCCGCCTCTCATCGTGACAACGGTGGCGCCACAGCCGAGGACAGGGACACCTGTTGGTGACAACTGAGACAACAACGACAGGAAGACGCACCTAAAGAGCTCAGCACTTATACATTAAGATATTGTTGCTGCAC